CTGATATCACCTCCTGACCAGGCCGTGTCGTGAGAAAACGTGAACGCGAGATTTTCGCAGTGTGTGTCAGAAGTTTTGCAGTTTAGATTGATTTGTCGAGTTTCTGCAGAACTGCATCGCCCGGACGGCGCAAGACTGTAGTCAAGTTTACATCGTGTCTGCGTCTGCAACGCTATGAACCAGTGCATGGGCAGACCGCGGCTGGCTCAGACTAGCGTTTTTCGTATTGCTGACAGTTTGGGTGTAGATGCAAGAAAAGACTAGAACGAGAAAGATGTTGAAAGATCTGTTTCGAGTGTGCGCTACACTGCCCATAGTGTTTGTCATGTTGTGAGGTTAGTTAAGCAGTGGCGTAGCGCTGCCGCTTGAGGTTTATGGCGATGCAGAGCGACCCGGGACGTTGAGAATGTCAGTAGTATTAGAATACGTACGGCGATGTTGTGAGCAGAGATGATCCCATTTGGAAAGCTCTGTACCAGAGCGGAGGTATGATGTTTCATCCTGGCTACTTGTCGGTATGTGTCGGAAGCTCAGTGACGTGTGTAGAAAATGTGCGTGTTCTTTTTCTTTTCTTTGTTCTTTTTCTTTTCCGAGAATTTCTCAGTTTCAATGTCTCAAAGCTTGTATCCGAAATGCATGTTTTTCGTGTAAGTGTTTGTGCGGGACATTGACTGAGGATCAGCGGGCTGATCTACTCGGTGGGATTCGTGCCTCGCAAGGCAAGCAAGATGACCCGAAGACGACAGAGGAAGAGACCAAGAGAGAAGACGTGGCTGCTGCCTTTGTGCGAAAGATTTTGCCTCAACTGCCGGCAGATTGTGTGCGGTTTCAAGATCAGAAGTTGTATCAGAAACCTTCTCACTTGGTTCTTGCAATGATGACAGCTTTGCCTGGTGATCGACAGTTGAACGAAGATTGCGTTTTGCTGATGTTTTGGACAAGGTCTATGACGAGGAGCAGCACAAGCCGCCAGAAAACAGAGGCGTTTATCATATACTGTTGCTCGGTCAGGGTGGTTCTGGGAAGACGCATATTGTGCAGAATTTGATCTTCCCCATTGTGCATTTCATTTGGCCAGCAGAAGGAGAAGAAGACAGTATGATGGTTGTAGCCGCCAAAAATGCACAAGCAAAGAACATTTCGACTGATCAGGTCGCTGCCAAAACGCTGCATGCTGCCAGTTGCATGCGTGTACAAAGTCTTTCAAACGGCAACATGACTGCAGGAACTGCCGAGAAACGTTTGAAGACTTTGTGGAACAGCATCCGAGTCTTGATCATCGAGGAGATCAGCATGGTTTCGGCTATGATGTACAACATGCTAGACTTTCGAGCTATGTTGGGTCGTCGTGTGGCTTGGCATGTCGATCCCCATACATACTCCTAGGTCGGCTGTGCTTTTGGTCGCGTTCCTATCGTGTTGCATCTCGGTGACTTCTTTCAGCTTCGGCCTACCGCACAGTTGTCTTTGCTGGATGACTTGGATGCAAAGAATGCCGATGGCGAGCTCAAGTACGAGGCAGTGGCACCTGAAGTACAGCACGCGCAAGAAGTGTTTGCAAACATCCCCGATGTTTTCGAGCTGCGAGGGACCATGAGGTTCAAGTCTGGCGATCCTTTGATCGACCTACTGCAGTGCATGCGACAGGGGAAGAAGTTGCCAACGCCTCTTTGGCGGAAATTCCAAGGCCGTTATGCAAAAGACGCCGAGCCTGGTGTCCCAGACCCTCGCTTTTTTGAAGACAAGTTTCGCTACGGATTTTGCATGTCCATCTATTGGAGTTCTTTGGCGCGCGTGTTGTCGCATCGCGCTGTTCTCGATGCTAAAGAGTTACAGGTTCCGTTGGTCATGCTGCAAGCTGCCGATGAATGTTGTGACCTCAAACAAGACGCAGCTTTTCGCTTTCTGAATATGACTAATCCCAACAAGACAGGACACATGCACGGCGTGTTTCCTTGTCATATCTTGAAACCGCACACAATCTGCCGGCAGTCGAGGCAAAATCTTTCGCACAAAGGCAGCAGCCACGTCTTCTCTCTTGGTCTCTTCCTCTGTCGTCTTCGGGTCATCTTGCTTGCCTTGCGAGGCACGAATCCCACCGAGTAGATCAGCCCGCTGATCCTCAGTCAATGTCCCGCACAAACACTTACACGAAAAACATGCATTTCGGATACAAGCTTTGAGACATTGAAACTGAGAAATTCCCGGAAAAGAAAAAGAACAAAGAAAAGAAAAAGAACAAAGAAAAAAAGAAAATATTATACAGACCAAGTTCGCTGCTCAAATTGCCAACCTCCTGACACATGGGTAGGAGTTGTACTCGATCGCACGCAGGGGAAGATGCAAGCTCTGAACCAAGAACATCTCTCTTCATCCAGCTCTCTTTCAAAAATTCTTTGGTATACTGATTTTTGCGACCTTGGAACTCAAAGAACAAAAGCTTCTTCAACTCTTCCGTAGAAGCACAATAGGTGATCGGCTGAAAGACTTCCGTGCAAGTCTGGGCAGCACCACGCATGTCATCATCGTCACTAACATGTTCAGCGTCCACTTCACCATCTTCTCCCTCGCCGAGACATCGGATTCGCTGAACAAATTCTTCCTGCAAATAGGCATCAGTATCCCGGCGTTTCTTGGGGCGAGTCTGGCGAGCACGGGCAAGGCCTTCCAAATTGGCGATGCGCCTCTCTGCAAGCAAAGACGAATACATACTTCGTGACTTTTGGTACTTGAGGCTAGCTGAGGTACATCAAGTGAACTTATTGAACTTATAACATAAGTTACTTATAGCTAGAAATAAGTAGACACTAAGTAGAAATTAGCTAGAAATAGCTAGAAATAGTTAGAAATTACCTAGAAATACCTAGGAAATAAGTAAAACTTAGATATGTCTAAAATATGTGGTTTCTTATGTTTTTATGTTTTTCCTATGTTTTCGATTTATTACAAAAAGAAAACGTGTTTTCTCTTGAACATATACAAGTTTTATAAAAACAATTCTATGCGGCCTAAGGGACGCTCTGGTGCAGCAGAGCGGCCGTGAGGCCGCTTTCCTTTTTTCTTTCAAGCAGCTAGCCATGTTTTTTTTGCTAAATGGTTTCGACCATTTAGCATAGTATTCTTTATCTTTACCGCCACGGCGGCGTTTTCGGCCTCCACTTCATCAGAAAGATCAGATCCGACTAGATCTCTACTAGAAAAATTGAGCCAAACTTCAATACATCATCCAAATTATGGTTTCAATCTATCTTTGAAATTTTACAAGAACCATATATTTAGACATAAAATATTGATCGTTCTTCTTGATTGAACATGAATGTATCGGAATGTATCGGGTCATCCTGGGGAGTATGAAAAGTAAAGCCAATACATTCCGATACATTCCAATACATTCTGGGGAGTATGAAAAGTAAAGCCAATACATTCCGATACATTCCAATACATTCTGGGGAGTATGAAAAGTAAGGCCAATACATTCCGATACATTCCAATACATTCCGATACATCTGAACACTGCGCTAGGTTTCTTGAAAACCCTTGGTCATAACAGAGCGTCCCTGAGGCCGCTTGCGTGTTTCTTTCTTTACCGCTGCAGTAGCGTTCTTTCATTTGAGCGCCTCACCAAGTTTCATGATGTCGTTCTTGAGGTTCTCCAAGATAGGGCGGTATTCGATGAAGGTATTTGGAAAACAGCAACCGATCCAACACGAACGCGCAAAAAAGGCACAACAGAGCGTCCCCGGGGCCGCTTCACAAAGCACACTCATCACACAAACGCATGCGTCCAGATATATCTATTTGAATAGTGTTGTTGAAAAACAAAAATAACCCAAGTCGAACTTTTCATATTGAAGGTTAAAAAAAGTGGAAACTATATACACCAATAGCTATATAATAAGTAGAAATTAGCTAGAAATAGCTAGAAATTACCTAGAATTAGCTAGAAATAGCTAAAAACTAGCTAAAAATAAGTAGAAAATAAGTAGAATAAGTAGCCTCCAACATAAGTACTATAAGTTCACAAGTTACTACTATGTTCCATAAGTAGTACTCTGGTACTTATTGAACTTATAAGTTACAATATGAACTTATAGAACTTATAACATAACTTATAGAACTTATAGTACAACTTCAAGTTACTTGTCACAGCTCAGCTAGCCACAAGTACCACAAGTCACGAAGTAGCGACGGTAGCTCGAGGGGGGTCGCCAGTGCCCCCCTCTTCGAGCTGCAAGGCGTTGGCCTGGCGAAGCTTTTCTTCCAAAAGTTCTCTCACTTCCAAAGTTTCCCAGAGCGAAGGGTACTCGCAACGACAAGCAAAACGTCTACGGCCTGCTGTGGTCTGAACTTCCATGTCGTGTACCCACTCCAAATAGGCCGTGGTGAAAGCCGTTGCCGCAACATGTGAAGGATCACCCACCGGTCTCCGCTTGGGCCTGCAGAAGTCGCCGAGGGCGTCCAGGACCAACTCCTCGTCAGCGAGAGGAACGTCACGTACAGCAACTGGCCTGCACTGCAGTTACAGTTGCTTGTACATGGCAAAAAAGAAGATCTACTGCGATTTACAATGGGACAGCGTCGCCGGCGCCCACACC